GAAGAGGTTTGCAAAAATAGCAGGGTTTGAATGTGGAGAACACTTCACGACACAGACATTTCAGAGTCTCAACAGCAGAGATGAACATCCTGATCTCATGTCTATGTACATCAGTCAAGCTTTCGTCATGACAACACACTCTCATACTCGGCAGATAAGAAAGGTCAGCGCAGATCTATGTGGGATTTACAGTCATGCATTTTACATGAATTGGGATCTGACAGATTAAACATTTCACCCCAAGCATAAATTTGGAGTGCAAAGATTCCTTAAAATGAGGCATCTAATGCTCATGGAAAGCGATGAGATGGAGGTGACATTGTGTTGAATATCTAATCTATGTGTTAGCCAGTACATCACTGTGCTATATTTTGTAGGCTCCATATCAGTTGTCAGAGAAAGCAGTTTTTCCCTATTATTATGATGCAGTGCCTTCAGCTAAGAGTCATTACCTGCAAGCAGAACAAACACCTTTTGAGAGAATCTGAGAGTCCCTCTAAGTCTGATGTTTTAAGCTGTCAGGCCTGTCATATTGATTTGAAAAGCTCCACATGACGCTTTCCGCTGAATGTTCAGAACTGCCTCTGAAAGCATGATGTCTACAAGAAACACCTCCAGTATAAAGTTTAAATATCAGACACTGAACTGAGCGGTTTTAAGCTGACAGCATTTTCATTATTCCTTATTATTGGAGTACAAACAGTTCCCACAATCGCTGCTCAAAATTAAGCTGGCACTGCCATGTTTTTATTAATCACCTAATGTGTATTAAAACATCCAGTTCTAGCTTTTCTGTAAGTTCAGATACAAAAATATTGCATTGCAATTTCTGTGAATTGTGCTTTCTGGTTGCTGGCATGTGAAGGAAAGCTCTGCCTGCTGTGTGTAAGTCTAAGAGCTGCTCTCAGTCACCTCAGTGGAAATAATCTGAACAAGCAGTAAGTCCTGGTGAAGTAAAACAGAGCTGGCATAATTCTCATATTTAAACCTATGAAGTGATTCATCAGCAGGAACAGATGGCCTCTAAACAATAAACAATTTTTCCACCAGATGAATAAAACAAAGGGTGACAGGAAGACACACTGTTGTACAAAATTCATTCAGTTGTCATAAGATTATATTTCATACTACTACACTAGAAAAATAATGTGGCAAAAGTACTACATTTCTACATTTGATCGAATCCATTTTAATATTTTGTGGAGTATATCTTGAGTATTCAAAATGTGAAGATCAATGATTATTTCAGACGATGTATTTCTTTACTTTAATCATTGTACATTCCATTGTTATGCATTTTGATATTTAATTGGGGTAGTTGGTGATCATCTATTTATTAAACTATTTATTAAACTCTTTAATTGTAAAATTAAAGAGTTACAAATATGGGATCCTCATGTTATTTGTGTTATAGCCATGGGTGTAATCATGTCCCATGTAATGTATTGGTAGATGTTAAAATTTGTGTCATATACAGTACAAATGGAAATTGTTGAGCATTTAAATTAAATGTATAAATGTGTGTTTTTAAAGACTCAACATTGGCTAATGAATGATGACGTCAATATAATTAAGGATTTAAAAAGTGGGTGGAGGGAATGAATTATTCAATGCACTGAAGAAGGCCTTGAGCCGAAACATTTGTGTTTTGTCCTGCTGGTGATTAATGTAAAATAAAACTCTAAAAGAAGACTATTTTTATGAGTGTGGATCATATAATTAATTAGACTGACGCAACCAAAATAAAATATTAAGTGACAAAAGAGTGCAGTGCAAACAGTTTTGTGGAAAGGTTCTATATTACAAGTTCGTTCAAACAAGCACAAATTCAGAATTTGTTTATTATTTTTTATGTAGAAAACTCTAACGTGTACATAAGTATTTCCATAATAGGATTGTTTGCTACATTTCACAATGAGTCAACTATTGGTAAAGGCTATTATCATTAACTAAAACTAAAACCATAAAAAATGGTTTTCATTAACTGAAATAAGTGTTAACAAAACGTTAACAAATAAAATATTTAAAAATCCAAATTATAAAACTAAAATATACAAATATAAAATTCACTTAACTAACTAAAAACTATATAGACATAAAAACTAATAAAAATTATGAAAACACAAAACAGAATTACTAAAACTTTACACTTATAATGAAAAAGATATCAAATATCATCTAATCGAAAATATTAACAAAAACTATAATAGCATATCAATGACACTAAAATAATATCCTAAAGTCGAAAAATCTTGTAATGTATTATTTATACCGATTTGAGTAAATTTCAAATGCAAAAAAAATGAAGTAAAATCTGACTGTATCTACTGTACACCGTAAGCAAGCAGCACAATTAGCATGAACAAATTAGATCTCTCCCATTATAATCAAGAAAGCTGCCTACAAGTCAGGAAAGCTATAGATATTATTGTGGGGCAAGCTAACAACACTCATAAAACAACACAAAATTTATTAGGAATACAATAGCTATGATATGAGATTAATGACCCATGCCATTAAAATCTAAGAACATTGAATGACATCTCATGATATTTGTAAAAACGCTGAACTGACCAAACCAGAATTTTCAGTTATCACAGCAATAATTTGATTCGCTCACAGTAAATTTGTCTCCCACACTCTTCCTCCCCAATGGCACAGAGCAATAATAAACTAAGCCGTTTGCTTACACTAGCTGGATAGCTTTAGCTGTAATAAGCCATCTCTGAACATGAACACCAAGTTAACAAAAGAAACTGTTCAACCATTAAATTACAAGTCTGCCTCTCAATCAAACTGTAACAGCATCAAATCAGTATCAAATTATAGCCTTTTTAACAATTATTCAGTGGTGACATGAAAGCAAATCATCCTGCTGCAATCAACATGTCTGGGCTAAAAACGTCAAGAGTTAAATGTAGGTAAATGCCCATCCAAGTACTTGCATTTCTACATCATTGTCCTATACATTAAAAATTTTGCACACAGCCAACAAGCAAATTCCCTTTTTTTCTCTGCAAGTGTGTTTATTGGTATGAAGTTCAGCAAAATACAGAATAACATTCTGCAAAGATTTAACTTTTCAAATCACTTGCAGCTGTACAAAAATGCTGAGCATTTTGCCAAATCTGCAACATTTAGACAGTCTATGGTTATAAAAAGAAATTAGTACAGCTAAATATTTAAATGCTCTTGCCAAAGAGGTTCCTGACAAAGACCCGCAAAGCTAATTAGGCTGGAGGATGAAAAGCCCTCTTTGCTGCTGCGTCATCCATACCGGACAGTTAAAGGTTTGTGGATGTTCTTTCCATGGCCATGTGTGGGGGGCAAATCAATTTGTTTTATATTTAAAGCCAACAGCCATTCTGCACTTTGCTTCACAAAAGACCCTTTGCATCTCATTTCACATGGTTAAGTGGAATGGAGCCTCCCAAGCCATAGGAATCGTCATATCTTAGACACTGAAGAATGATGAAGGGTCAATTGGCTATTTATAGTCAAATAAATACATTGATCTGAATGGAAATTTAGTAAATCAAATAATTACCCTTCCTAATATGTGACAGGAGACCAGCCGATATTGTGAGAAGTACTTCACTGTGCTCTTTGAATGAAAACACAGCATCTGCCACATCAAAGTCAAAATGACAATCAAAACAGGAAGTTAACTCAAAACCTCTAAAATTCTTCTATGAAGACTGTAAAATAATTTAATACACAAGAGTAAACACTGGCCAAATAAATGGAAACATTAGAAACTAAGCAACATATAAAACCATAATTTATCATTAACCTTAATCGACCCGCCATCTGTAACTCTACTTTACAATATTGGCCATATTTAACAAACCATATTTAAACAGATGTAACGCATATTTTTAAAACTTGTTCAGTAAACAAGATGCTTATTATCTGGACAAGCTTGGATGCTTTTCCCTTTTTGTTTATACTTCTTTTCTGTGTTTTCATGCCAAATGATCTTATCAGAAAGATCATATAGTGTCACATGATGATGACGACGTCAAGTGCAAGGACTGAACGAAACTAAGGCAAAATTATAGATTGAGACAGATGAGGGCTTTTATGTGGAGAGATGGGAGTGTTAGTCTGCCAGATGCAGCTAAATGCCATGGCTGGGATAGGTGGGGTGTTGAAGATGATAAGACTAAAATCGTTGGCTTTACACTTTAATCTGATTCTAGCAGCAACAGGAAGGCAAAGAGACATTTGCTACTGGCAACTTTGGATGCATATTGCTTAATAGCCAACAAAAAAATAAAAGCTGTATATTTCCTTCGCCAGCATCAGCCTCGACATATAGTACTACAGGTGAAACCAAAAATGTGTTCGCTCTACTGTAATACAAATCCACAGCCCTCACACTCCCAACCTTATACATAAAAATGTACCATTGAATGGGAACGAAGTTTCCTTCTGGCCTTGGGTTACTGATGATCCGGTCATCTGACTAAGCACAGAGCCATTACCTCAATCAGGGCTGTTAATGTTTCACTTCATGAAGCACAGCATGCATCTTCCTCAGTGATTCAGTACAAGGCCTCACATAAATGCTTTTCTACAGCAAAAGCACACAATGTCTAAAGAGGATTTAGGAAGCATTTCATTCAATACTATCTTAAGTGTCCTGATTGTATTGACTCATGTGACCATGAAAAATAATGGCTGCAGGTAATTTATTGCATTAATGAATTGCAATTAATTAGAAAGAAATTAATGCAATAAAACAGTTAGAACAATTAATCTGGGCCTTGACCAGTATGGTCATTCCATAAAAAAGTGATTTTCCTTTAGAGCAATTCAAGGTTGAAGTACAAGCTTTGTGTTTTCACGTGTTACACTTCACATCTTATTTAGAACAAATATTAATCGTAAAAGTATGCAGATGAGAAAAAAAATCTAATATTACTGATAATAAACATGCTGTTATTTTACAAATATTATTTCAAAACATGAAACAAACCCAGATGTAAACTACTTACTTCTAGTCAATGGAGTTGGATGCACAATTCAAAATCTAACTCTCTGAACATATGGTCCAGCGTCTTCTGGTAAAATCTCAGATACACATTCCACCATGCATCTACAGAGATCTGAGGAACAGAGAAAATTATGAATTAATGTGAAGCAGGTTAAGGAAGTCAGACAGAGCACAGGGGACTGACCCAATTAAGAGTGTTTTTTTTAATATACTTCCATATAGTGAGGAACGTCACATTTCATTTAGAAACTACCGTAAACTGTTAAAGAAAAAAAACAATTCTACTTTGTCCATTTATAAGTCTTTACCTGAACTCAGTAAGCCTTCAGAATCTTGGGTAGGGCTTTATCAATCAATGTTTTATCAGGAAAATATACTCTATATTTGAATCAATATTTCATCTATATTAGTGCTGGGCGATACAACGGTTCAAACGGTAAACCGGTTTGAAGTATGCACACGTTATGAATTTTTTTTTTTAAAACACCATACCGGTACAAGTGGCTGCACAATGCTGTACCAGTAGCATTGTTAACTGAGAGGAAATCCCTGTTAACTGCCCCAGAATTCTTTGGTAGTCATCAGATTTCATCATGCCATGCACACAGTCAAGACATCCAATGCCTGAGGCAGCAAAGCAACCTCAAAATATCAGTGAACCAAAAGGATTTTGGCTTCCTCAGGTACGTTTTGGCAAACTCCAATCTGGCTTTTTTATGTTTCTGTGTCAGCAGCGGGGTCATTCTGGGTCTCCTACTGTAGCATCTCTTTTCATTCAGATGGCAATGGATATTACGAGCTGTCACTTGTTGTACCCTGTTCCTGCAGGTCAGCATTAATTTGTTTGGAAGTTGACCGAGGTTCTTTATCCACTCTTTGAATCCTTTGTTGCAATCTTTTATCAACTTTTCTCTTTCATCCACATCCAGGGATATTAGCTACAGTGCCATGGGCTTTAAACTTCTTGACAATGTTGCACACAGTGGACTCCGGAATATTAATATGTCTGGATGTGGACTTGTAGCCTTGAGACTGTCCGTGCTTTTCCACAATTTTGGTTCTCAAATCCTCAGACAATTCTTTACTCTTCTTTTTTTCTCCATGTTCAGTGTGGTACACAAAGACACACAATACAAAGGATGAGACCACTTTTCCCCATTTTAATGCCGAGTTCACACTGCACGATTTTCAAAGTCGTCGGGTCACCGTTAGGCCTGTCACGATAACATCTTTTTGTTGAGCGATATATTGCCCCAGAAATAATTGCGATAAGCGATATCATTGGCATTTTAAAGACCATTTTATGCCACTGAATATATAATCACAATGTAACAGCATAATAATGCAAGAAGGCCTACACACTTTCAAATGACAACAAACTTTTAATTTAAGAAAATTTAGATCATGGAAATTAAGTATCAAAATATTAGATACCTTACAAACTTGAATAAATAGTAAATAAACATTTTCTAACAAAAAGTGCAAAGTAACAAGTGGAAAAAAAATTTAAATGCACAAAGAACTTGTATGGAGATTTTTCCATCTACAGATTTTCCCCTGACCTTCTTTTCTCTGTAAATTAAGGGTGCACACTTTTGCTGAAAAACACAATCACTACTTAGCAGTCCATATGCACAAAGGCCCAGATCCATAAACAAGACCATATCTGCAGATGAAACATTGTTTGTAGAAGCATTTTTTACATTTGAACAAGCACCTCATGACTACACCACGCTGCAAAAGACACAGGCGCAAGTGGAATGTACAAAACATCGTAAAATAAATTTTTAATATGTAATAATTGTAAATATAATGGGCGATATATTGCGTCACCAAAAATTATTGAGGTCATGTACATATATTGCGTGATAATTCGTTATATTGATTATTGCGACAGGCCTAGTCACCGTTGTTTTCACACTTCACGACTATCTGAGGTAGCAGTCAGTCGCTGCTGTGTTCACACTACACGATGGATCGGCGACAGGAGGTTACACACTGCATGACTTTACAATAGGAAGAATCGCCGACAGCTCTGTCTGGTCCGCAAACTACGTTTCACAACAAAACACACGCAAGAAGTGATAAGGAAATAACACGAGAACCCGCGTGCATCAGACCGGAGTTCTCGAGCAAGACTTGAATTATTAAAAAATATATATATAGCCCGCAAATTATCTGTGAGCTGATTTCCAGCAACAATGAGAAAAAGAAAAACAGATTATGCAGGAAGGCGATGCAGGGAACAGGGATTGGGTGTTCTGCAAAGAGAGTTGGAACTAAATAATTTTGTAGTAACCGTTATGCTGAAGTTGTGGCTGGTCAAGCAAATGTTTGTGCTTGTTTCTGTATGATATAATTGTTCAAATATCTATTAAAATACTGATATTCTGGTCTATAATTCCTCCCCGAACTTCCCTCTGCCCTGTATTTTGGTCTCTCATTGGCTGTAGGTCATCGGCGATGTAGTTTTCAGTCAGAAATCATTTCAAACAGCGTGATTGTGAATCGCCGACAGCTCCAGATATTTAGCATGCCAAATATTTTGCGGGCGTCGGCGACTCCCTCAGATTGCGTCTTTGATAATTCACACTGCGTGATTGTCACTCGCGTGCACGAGCAACGATTTGCCTCCGATTTCGGGCATTTGTCGGCGAATTCGCAAAACCTGTCGGCGAGTGAAAAATTGGGCTAAAATCGTGCAGTGTGAACTCGGCATAACTGGTTGCAAGTGTGATTTCTACATTGCCAGCACCTGTGAATTGCTACAGGTGAGTTTAATTACATTAGTATTTAATTACATAAAGATTTGGCTTTTTTTCTCTGCTTTTTTGTGTTGTTCCCATGGAAACAAAAGAAATAAACATGAGAATACCAAAGCATTTTGGTATTTGGTAATTGCAACAAATTTCTGGGAGAAATAGTGCATTATCTGACAGAAATGCAGGGGTGCCAATATTTTTGTCCATCATTGTGTGTGTGTGTGTGTATATATATATATATATAT